ACTCTATTTGACTTATTCTGGCAATAGTAAACAATTTAGACCTAGAATTACATCAGATGGATGTAAAAACCACATTCCTAAATGGTGATCTGGATGAAGAAATCTATGGAACAACCATTAGGTTTCATCAAAAAAGGAAAGGAAAATAAAGTTTGTAAACTCAAAAGGTCCATTTATGGATTGAAACAATCATCCAAATAATGGTATTTGAGGTTTCACAAAGCAATAACCTCATATGACTTCCAAATGATAGAGGAAGACCACTACGTCTACATTAAGCGGTTTGAGGGTAATTTTGTCATATTATCCTTATATGTAGATGATATACTATTAGCCGGAAATAGTCTAGATTTGTTGGTGGCCATTAAAGAATGGCTTTCGTTGAATTTTGAAATGAAAGATATAGGCAAAGTAGAGTATATACTTGGAGTTAAGATCTAAAGAACTCAAAAAGAATCCTCTCTCTTTCACAAGAGAATTACATCAACAAGATTCTTGAGCGATTTAACATGAAAGACTGCAATCCCATGAGTACCCTGGTTGCTACCAGAGTAGCCTTGAGTCTTGACATGCATCCCAGAACCGAATCTGACAAAAAGAAGATGGAAAGAGTTCCATATGCCAGTACTGTTGGTAGTTTGATGTACGCAATAATGTGTACAAAACCAGACATCTGTGTAAGGAATTGAAAGACACGTAGCGGAAAATAACTTTAAAATTTTCTAATTCCTTGGTCGGATCTACTGATTGTGTTTAAGTCAAGTGGTAAGAGGTGTTACCTGCGGTATTCGAATCGTTGGTGGCTCGGGGATTTCGACGTTCGGGATGCCTACGCTCTCCTTTTGTTTGTGAGAAGTCGACAACTCAGATCGGCTTCCTATACCGGTATCCACACGAACAGCTTTCAATCACGAACGACGTGCTAGCGCCTCTTGTCCTTCTAGGGTTTTTGAGAATCCGTCCTCACCGTCTCTCTTTTGGCTGTTTCTTATCTGCAAACCTTTTGCACTCTCATCCACACAAAACCCTAGCTCCTAATATCAAATATATAGGATGTCATCGGTATTATGAAGGACATTGGATTTCGGAATTAATCCTAAATTAATTCCGAAATTAATACAATATCATATATTGCGTAATCTGATAAGAAATCAATTAAATAAATACGGTTTGTATATTAAATCCGTCCTATAGATTTAATTTACCTATTCATTTAATTCAAAATAAAGATATGACGAAATTATATTTGATTTATTCTAATAAATCAAATTTGAGATATTATACCTTATCAATTTAAAAAATGATATAGATTTAATTTATCCTTATAAATCAAATCTTATAAATATCTCTTATATCTATAATATATATATACGCGAATTTATATATATATATACATGTCCACCCTAGATTATTCATTGAATCTGGACATATCTTAGATTCAATGAATCTGGACATCATAGCTCGTGTTGGGCTATTTTGTGTGCGACCCTGTAGGCCCATATGAAGTTGGCAGTGGGCCATTTACTATAATGACTCACAAGTCGTAAGCGGTCTCTAGCAAGACATCACGACTACCCAAATCATATGAGGATCGATGAACGATGTAACCTTTCATACAACCATATCACGTCCCTTTTGTCACACGACATTTCGGTCATGGATGAGGCATGGAGAACGTCATCCTCCTATTCCTAACTGTTACTTTCTCAATCGCTGAGTAGTCTGAGTATAGAAATAGAACTACCTTTCCATTATAGTATGGCCATACATTTCTTAGACTCACTCATCGAGGGGCCCAGTAATATCTCTCTACGAATGTGAAGGACAAATTCCATCTTGACCATTCACATTCCTCCATATGAAAAACCACTAAGCCTGAACATAGTCTTTATGATCACTCGGTCAAAAGTGACTTTTGACTAGGTCAAAGCTGAGCGTTTCTCATGAAGGAATCCATAATGATCTCAAGTCAAAGGGCATAGTGACACGGTTTGTATATGAGAGAAGCTTATAACTTAACCCATGCAGCTCTCTCATAGCGGGTCGGTCCAACACCTTGTACTCTTACATGTGCCTATGACTTTGATTTATATCTCATACATCTTCAAAGTAATACTAGTCTTATTTCATCTCTGCTCCCACATAGATGACCGACCAAGGACATTTAGGATAAAATCATGAGTTATCCAAGGATAATCATCACAGTAAACATGCAAATAATATGATAACATAATTAAGAAATTCATAAATCAACAATGTTCATAACACAATGATTGGTCCCTGGGGCACAATTTCCAACAATCTGTTATGCAGCCGGACTGGTAAGCAGATTCCAGTCTAACCCCGATGAAAAGCATTGGAAAGCAGTGAAGAGGATCTTGAGATATTTAAAGGGCACTTCTAATTATGCACTGTGCTACGAAGGAGGTGATCTGTGCCTTGTTAGGTACTCCGATGCCGATGTAGGTGGAGATGAAGAAGAACGAAGGTCAACTTCAGGTTATACCTTCTTGCTCAACAATGGCGCCATATGTTGGAGTAGCAAGAAGCAAACGTGCATTGCCTTACATTCAATGGAAACTGAGTTTGTGGCATGCACCGCAGCAGTGCAAGAGGTTTTATGGCTGAAGAGATTTATAGAACACCTTGGATTTGGAAACAAGAGTACCAATCCAGTGATGGTATACTGTGACAATACTGCAGCAATAGCCTATACCAAAGATCCTAAGTATCACAGCAAAACCAAGCACATCGACATCAAGTATAATTTTGTTAGAGATTATATAGCACAAAAGATTGTTACTGTACAATACATTTTAACCAAATGTATGATAGTAGATCCTCTGATAAAGCCAATAAGCGAAAAAGTTTTTAAAGAACATTTACAAGCCCTTGGCATACGTAAAGTGTAATTTGTAAACCTCATTAATGAAATTATATTTTTTTTGTTATCACTTTATGTGTTTGTCCGAAAGTATACAATGTCTAGTATGTCGTACAGGTTAAAAAAGGTTGGCTCTCTCACACGGGCAACCGCCTTTGACACTCAGGTGGAGTGAGCAAAGATGAGATATTTGTGTTAACCAGTAAAGTAGCAAAAAAAAATGCTGATATGGTAGGGAAGAAACACAAACTTTATGTCACCTTGACTAAAGTGTAGCAAGTCAAGATGAGATCCATGTTGATAAAGTTGGATCAAAGTTTAGAATCCTACTTCCATAATACCTGTAACCAGATAACAAACTCTTCAACGTCGACGTCATAGCAATGAGCAGAGTTAAAGAATTTGGGTTTAGATACTAAGTGTGTCTAGACTTAAGTCTGTACGATGTTAATGATAAGTCCAAAACGACATACGCTCTTATAGTAAAAGAGTAACACTATAGCATGTGTTTCATACCATATGTGCTGGGAGAACTGCAAAAGGAAAGCAAGTGAAAAATCCCTGCTTCATTGCTGTGTGAGTCCCAGGGAGGAATTATCCTCCTGTTGGTGTCCTTTGACTTTGACAATATCACGAAGATATGTTTCAGTGACTGCTACTTTGGCATGTCTCCTATGGTCATGATTGATGCGATCTAAGGTAATATGCTAAGAAAGTGACTGATTCATATCAAAGTGATATTTGGGTGAAAGGAAGATTGACTGTGATATACACACCTATGCTAGTGTATGTGACATGTCCCTTATGACATTTTGTTGTCGTAAGTGTGGACACTAGACATACGAGAAAGGTAACCTGAGTCAAACATTGACTCAAGAGGGATTAGATTTACCATGAAAAAGTGTATATAGGTGAATCTAGGACATCTGAGGCATAATATTAAAATTCAAGCTACACGTAGGAGTGGTTGACTTGTGCTGGTCCTATAAATAGGATTTCTAGTATAGGCACCCTACTGAAGACATTATGCCCATGCGGTCACGGCAAAACACTATGTATGAAATTAAGGTGAGAAAAAGAGACTAGACCCACAACATCTAATCCACCAAGTGTGAGTGGGAGATGTAAGAAAATGGGCCAATCCACCCTTAGTGGATTGGACTCAAACCCATTAAGCTTTGGGGCTCTGATGTAAATAACAAAACATCCGGGTCGAAAACTGCAATTTACCCCTTTTTGGTTTAAAATGGTTGAATAATGGTCGAGATCAATTCAAAATGGAAGGCGGTTTTTGGTTTCTACACAGACTTAAGAAACCAATCGAGAGATCAATTACATGACAATCATTTTCGGTCCTTGCGTCTCCTCTCTCAAGTTCTCTCATTTTTTTCTTCCTCCGAGAGTGCATTTGCTGTGTATCCAGATTCGTGTTCGAAACCATAACCGCATCTCCTCGTGGCTATCTGAGATTATCTTATACTTCAGATACGCTCGAATTCATCAGAAAGAATATAAATAAATATATAAAAATATAAGGATTAATGTAATTTTTAGTCTATAAAATTTGTACTTATTTTAGTTCTAGCTCTTCAAATTTTAAAATTATAGTTTTAGTCCATAAAATTTAGTCCGTCTTAAAACATTAATCCCAAAAGGTATAACGATGTTAAAATCTACTGAAATATTGTAAATATTGTTAGAATGGTGATATAAACTCGCCATATGGCACCTAGTTGATATTGTGTAGATAACAAAGGGAACGAAAGAACGTGTTTTTAGAATATAGTTTTTTAGCCCTGTTTTTCTTTCTTGCTATTCATTTGAGGCGTTGTTCATGTTCTTAGAACTCATCCTCTGTATAATGTATAATGTTCTGCTATCTATATAAGATTTAATTATGTGCCATCTGATGAGTCCACATAATCATTTTAACACTATTTATGATACTTTAGCATCAACACCATCACATCAGCAATTAATATTTTGAAATGTACTAAATTTTAAGGACTAAAACTATTTATTTAAAATTTAAGAGATTAAAATCAAAATAAACACAAATTTATTTAGAGATAAAAATTATATCAACCCAAAATATAATGACATTAGCATTCCCTCGCCTCCCTCCATTCTTCCCAAACATCCCTTCCGTCGCCTCTCCTCGGGGAGCAAACAATCCCGTAATCCCTACTTGTATGAAGCCGTTTCCACGAGTTGTATTGCGTGAGTGCCGACTTCAGGGATGGTTCTCTCCAACAAGAAGTTTAAACAGAAGCTTAGAGCGGAGTTAGCTCATTCTCAGTCCGCAAATCCCGATTGTTGTTTAAAAAATCTTCTTGATTCTACGACCCAGAAAATCCGATTTTCAAAGAGAGAGAAGCGCAGAAAGATTCGTTCTTTGCGACAATCCGAGGCTGCCCAAGAAGGTGGCGATGGTCATACCGTTGATAAAAGCAAAGAAGACGAGGGTACACAGAGGAAGAGCAAAAAGAGGAAGAGGAAGGCTGAGGACAACGGTGTGGCAATTGGGGCTGTAAAGGATGCGAAGAATTCGAAGAAGAGACGTGATAAGAAGAAGAAGAAGAACACGAAAAAGGCCAAGAAGCACAAGGATAAAGATCCTAATCCTGGAGATGAGCCTCCAGAAGCTTCAGAGTTAACCAAGAGTAATGGCAGGTAATATAGAATTATGCCCAGTTACGAACTGTTCGACTTATCAACGTGATGATGGCATGTGTGACACGATTTCTCAGCGAAATAATATAATATCTGCATTCGTAGTTGCTTATTGAACGAGTTAATAGGATGTTGAGGCTTATTTATTTTGTATTGTTTGATATAATGTGATTTTATTAGGATATTTTAAGCGTTTGGCTTTTCTGTTATATGTCAGTGGACAAATTGCTGATGTCCCTACAAAAGTGTATGTTGGAGGAATTCCCTACTATTCAACCGACGATGATATTCGAAGCTATTTCCAGGGCTGTGGCACAATAACTGAAATTGATTGCATGACGTTTCCCGAGACTGGCAAGTTTAGAGGGATTGCCCTTATTAGTTTTAAGGTAAGAAGTAAAGCAATATCATGTTGTTTACCTCTTTCTATTCTCCCCTCTTCCTCTTGCTCCTGAATAGCTGCCACAGTGAATGATCCTAATATGATTTTAACTTGTGTCTTGCAACTCTTTTGACTTCTATTTCAATTTGAATTGATTGCTGCTCTGTCATTGTTAAGTTTAGATACTAACGTAAAAATCATAACTCACAAATTGGTTATGCTTCAAAAATGAGAATTGTATTGGTCTTAAATGCAGGCATCAAAGATGAAAATTACTAAGATGCTTGAATAAAATATTCCTCATACTTCTTAATCTGTCCATTCTTACTGAGATGGATATTCTGTATGCATACTGCGAGGACCCTAATTCTGTAAGCGTATAAAAGATGTTTTTTTTTGGACCTAGGAACTCTTTTAACTTTAGCCCAGAGAGGGGATGAGTGCTGAGTGAGGGAGAGGGAACCCTTATGATGAGTCAAGCGATGGAGGTAATAGACAATTAGTGGTTTTGTAGATAGAATGTATCAGGTTGAGAGAGAAGAGAAAGAATAAGAGGTGCTGGAGGAGAGGAGTCTGTTCAAAGGAAAATTTGAGTCCTCTTCTGGGAGGAGTCTAGCTGCCCTCTGCTATTCTTTCAATTCAGGATTACTTTGGTGGAGACGGCCCATTCGTCAACTACTTTCCAGAGGTATTTCTGTTTTGCCTTCTAGTGTTGGGCTTTTAACACAGACATGGAGGTTAATGCAATAGTGAAGTTAGAAGACCAGAAGTAGCAAGTATTGTCCTACGTTGCTATGAGGGATGTAAATATCTTCATTATTGTAAGGTGTTCTTATTTTTCTGATGAACATTGTGGTTTAAAATAAGAAAAATAGTCCAGTTTGATCTAGGTCACAGGGGAGTCTATACTAAAGCTAAGGGAGCAATTTCTGAAGTATTCCTACTTATCCTGATTCACCAGCTCATTTAAGAAACTTGAACTTATATCCTTAAAATGGAAGATCAGATTTTACTCCATTAAAGAAGAAGGTTATTCATGGGAAGAGCTACAGTTCTTGCCATTTTCTTCTCATCTGTTTTCCTTGCTCAGGAGCATATTTTCCAATTCCTCTTTTTCTAGTTCTAATCTGCAAGCCCATAAACTTGTAATTACGATTAGATATCCATGGCTGCATGATGAATCATGACCATGGGAAACTGGACCTGAGCTCCTCAATGGTTTCTCCTTTTCCTTTTCTCAATGCCTGTCGTGCCTCTGGTCAGTTTTGTCGGCTGTAATCTATCTATGACCTTATACGGTCATTGTTGTATTCTTGATAAGAAAAGGGAATAGAATAGAAGAGTTTAGACAGAATAGGGAAGAGAGATTAGGAGAAGAGGATCAGGGAAAGACATGAGATCAGAGAGAATAGGAACAGTAGAAGAACAAGAGGGAAGAATGAGAGAAAAAGAGAGAACATGACTGAATAGTGCGCGCTTTATTATTAGGTAATCAACAACATACAATAGGATATACTTGTAGTCTATTTATAGTAGCATGGGCCTGCCTATAATTCTATCCGAACAAACTTAATAGAAATACAACAGAAACTGTATTCTAAATTACTAACGACTACTAACCAGTTGCTTAATCCTTGTAATATTTGAATTTAATTACAATTATACATCAATAGCCCCCTCCCCAGAAGGATCCTTGCCCTTAAGGATCTGGGACTACAAAATCTGAACTAACAGGAAAAATCTGGAAAAAATTGACTTGAATATTGATGGAATCACTGTCTTAGCATTTGTGGACTCAGGCCTATGTAGTCTTGATCCATTGCAGGCGTGTAATGGGCTGTGTATTGGGCTGTTCCCATTAGCTGCTACCGAGGGCCCCACCATGTGAAGTAGCTTTCCTTCCTTGTACTTGTACCTACCTGAAACTGGATCAAGTTATTGCCCAGTGGATATTGTCCAAAACCAGAACCAAATACACCAGATATTGTACTAAACTAGATCCCATAAGCATTTTAATCAGACACCCTTTGATCCATGTCAGATTCACAGGAAGGGAAGGAAGTTGATGGCAAATTAAGGTTTTGTTAACTAACCAATGGATCCAAGGCAGCAACGCTTTTGAGCCCTTTGCTTGAGAGATAAAGAGTTTCCCAATACCCATTACACCCTTCTTTTTCCTTCGTACCACCATCTATAAGTTTGACCTTTCAAACTATACTTTTCTCAACCACATGCAACCCAATGGTGCTGAAAGTGTCTGAGCTTCATAAGTAACATGTTCATTCTTTTTCTTCGAAACACAGATACTTGTCCTAACTTGCAAATACACACCAGCTGAAGAGTTAGCGACAGACAATGGCGTAGCGGAGACAAACGTTGACAGAAAACCCATCACCTTCAATGCCCCTGCAACTTGAGCAAAACAGAGCAGCTTCTTTGCTCTTGGAGTTCCCAATGAGTCCTATAGTTTTGGATAATTCTTTCGGAGGCCATTGTCTAAAGGAACAAAACTCGATGGTGAAGAAGAAAGAGAAACCAGCAGTGATAGCGTCGACCTACATGCATTGTGCGACACACCTAGAAAACCTCCAAGAGGGTTGAGAGTTGATGACCGACCAACTCCAGTTGCTGTTTTCATGATTTTTGTGAGGTTCTTGGGGACAAGAGGAATTTTCAGTCCCTGCAGAAGTGATTTTCTCCCTGGGTTGAGACCCACTAGTAAAGAGAGCAGTCTTGGAATGGGTCGGCATGGGTTGAAATCTTTGAACTACTAAAGTTGTCCCTGTCACATATCTACTCGTCTTCTCCATTGAAATCTTCTTGTTCTTGGCGTGTGATGGATATTTCTTGAAGTCTTGGTCTTCTAGCTTTAACCATTGATCTCGGATTGAACATGCAAACAGGTCCTGTGATTTCTTTCTTCAAGGCCGGCACATAAACATCTGCCAAATACTTCCCAGGCAGGTCCAGTTTGCTAGAAAGAGAGCCCAAGTCAAAATACCTTATTGTCGAAGACGGAGCAAGTCGCCATGATTCTGTTTGTTAACTGATCGTTCCTCGAAGTTGCCTGCCAAGTCCTGAAGTTGTGCTGACATCACTAGAACGATGTCTCACGGAGTCACAACAGATGCAAGTTTGTGTTCAATGCTCTATTATCTTTCATCTATGTTTCTTGAATTCCATCATAGCACGACATTCACCCATTGTTTGATCTTGAGACATTGGCAAGGAAAGACTAGTTCTAGATACCACTGATATATTATTGATAAGAAAAGGGAATAGAATAGAAGAGTTTAGATAGAATAGGGAAGAGAGATTAGGAGAAGAGAATAAGAGAAAGACACGAGATCAGAGAGAATAGGAATAGTAGAAGAAGAGGGAAGAACGAGAGAAAAGGAAAGAACATGACTGAATAGTGCGTAATTCATTATTAGGTAATCAACAACATACAATGGGATATCCTTGCAGTCTATCTATGATACCATAGGCTGACCTATAATTATACATCAGTCATATAGAGATGCGACTATACCCAGTTTGTGAACGAGGTCTTATAAATAGAACCTGAGGTAGTATGAAGATGATGTGGGAAGAGACATGACAATAATGTTTTGTTATTGTAATATAACATAGACAAAGCATCATTTCTTTCTTGAGCCAATGTCGAATTGCTATAATATTAGATGCCATGGTAGATTTTGAGATAAGCCACTAATCATTGCTTCAAAATGAGATTGAGGTCAGTGACACTTACAAACTTATATATATTGTGCATTTTTGAACCTGAGATTATTAGACACACTAATATTAGGTGGTATACTAAATGAATGAGTCAATCAATTGATCAATCAATCATCAATAAATATGTATCGAAGTATAAGAAACGTTTCTGTTATTCTGTCATTCATTTTGATTTCCATGTTTTTGGTTTAAAAGTTAGTCTTCCCTGTGGTGCTTGATTCCTGTACTTTTCTTTTCATAAGTTGACTATCCCTATGTCAAGGGCAGCGCTACTTGTTGCAGTTGCTTGTCAATTGGGAAGAAACAGCATCCATGCATTGGGATGATGATAACAAATACACCTCCTTCTGCGTTGTTACATTATGACATTCGACCATAGCTTAGCAGCACTATAAATTCTTTCAAAACACTCAAAAGTCAAATCTATGTATTTCTCTGTTAATCCCTCATCCATCACTTCTCATTGTATTTGTTGGTTATGAAAAGGTCATCATGCCTTAGAAAATTAAAGGAAGTTCTGAAAGTTATCGAGGATTAATTTATTGTTTATGGACTTTGGATCCGAATCTTTTCATTATCCCGAGTCTTTTCATTATTTACTGACCCTTTCTTGATACTTCTTCAACAGACTGAAGCTGCTGCTAAACGAGCCTTGGCTCTTGATGGATCTGACATGTTAGTATTACTGGTGATCTTGTCCTTTCAAGTGATTCTTTATTGTTCTTGTCGATTTGTCTTTTCATACTCATCAAACGTTTGACTTATCTCAGGGGAGGACTGTTTCTTAAAATTCAACCATATAAAGCAACTCGAACCGTTAAAGGGTCTGATTTCACCCCAAAACCTGTGGAGGGCTACAACAGAATCTATGTTGGAAATTTGTCATGGGACATAACGGAGGATCAATTAAGGACTTTATTCTCCAACTGCAGCATATCATCCATACGTTTCGGCATGGATAAGGAGACAGGAGAATTCCGAGGGTATGCCCATGTGGATCTCACCGACAGTCAATCGGTGAAAACAGCACTTTCCTTGGACCAAAAGGTGATGTGTGGAAGACCTGTTAGGATAACTTGTGCAGTTCCTTTGAAGAAGCCATGGAAACAAACAAGCGATGTGCCTCCGAACACCCAAGTTGATAGGGAGAAGTCAAGCTCCAGTGGAAGTGGTAAAATGAAGAGGAGGACATGCTTTGAGTGTGGTGAAAAGGGACATATTTCTTCTGCATGCCCAAAGAAACAGAATGTTGATTCAAGTACAAGCTAGAAAATGTGAGGTTTAACAGAGAGATTTATTCTCTCAAGTTGACTTTACTAAAACCATTTAGCAAAGCGACATATATTTGGAAAAATGGCTGTTAGCGTAGCTTAACCACTGTCATTTACTGAATTGATCAAATTTTGGTGGGAAAAGTGTTATAAAGAATAGCAGATAGGAAATTTGGACTTTTGCGTTTGATCCTATAGTTAGTGATTTTTCTTTTGAAGCACACCAGTTTCCGCGCTTTCAGCCTAGCCGCCGACAGTCTTTATACATTTATCTCCCAGCTTTTGGTCTGATGCATTCACAGAGCGACTTTTGACTTCACTGGGATATTAGAATTTAGAAAAAAAAAAATTTTTTGGGGGGGGGATTCACAGAGCTACTTTTGACTTCACTGGGATATTAGAATTTAGAAAAATAAGTTTTTTTTTGGGGGGGGGGGAGTTTAGTTTTGACCATTTTGAGATCCAAACTAGGTAGTACATACTACTTGTTCTAAATTAAGTTAGTTATTTATAATAAATAGATATTGTCGTTTCTAAAATATCCTTGTTAATTAAGTTTATTGATTAGGATTACTATTATTAGAACTATTTTAGAAAAAGAAAAAAAAGAGAGATAAATATGAGAGATAAAATGGATTAGAGTTTTATATTTAGAATCAAAACAAAATTAAGGATCGGAGGTAGTGTATATTAAGATTGAACGTTAAGTTTGAGATTGTAAAATCAGCATATTGACCTTCAATGTTGTAAATCACTTTGGCAATTCATGTTGTCTTTTTGAAATACATAAATCATACCAAGAGGTGTGGGTCTTAATAGAAAGCGTTATAATTGTTTAAGCACAAAAGCTTAAGTTTGAACTTGTGTCAATGTATTGGCCAAAACAAAAACACTTGTGTAAATGTAGAATACGCCTTTGAGATTTATCTTTTACTTGGAGCTTGATTTTATTTAAATATAAATTAGTTAGAATTCAATGTAAATTCATATATCAAATTAGTTTCTCTTATTATAATAATATTCTAATCTTTAATCAAGAGTTGTCTTATTATGGATTTTTATTCAGTGGGTCGATGAATAATGTTTATGGCTATGATGAAATTTGTACCATCCAAAATCTGACATAAATGGTTTAAATTTAAAATTTTTAATATGCAATTTTTCAATAATAAATATATTTGCTTTTAAGAAATATCAATTATAAATTATCTTTATTCTAAATTCTATCAGAAAAAAAGATTTTTTTTTTGAAGAAAAGGCAAAATGATTAACATTAAATATTTGTAACAGTCTACAAAGTGCAGTTAGTAACTGGAAACACTACAGGGGACAAAAAAGGGGGGAAATTAGTCATTACAAACAAGGACATCTACTTTAATAACTCTGTGACCGTATGAAAATGAGTCACATCAACCAGCCTCTTCTTGAAACAAACCAGTTGGAGTTCAGAAGCATCTCCGCCCATTGTTGCACCCATTCTAGCCATCCAGAGTAGTGTAGTCCTTAAACAGAGAAAATTGAACTTCCTGGGATCTACAAAGGAAAGATGGTAGTGGAAGCCTTGGATTGGAGCTCGCTGAAAGAAAAGTTATCAGTAGTTGCTACTGCTGGACATCTCATCTGTTCGGTTGTAGAATGATGTGAAGCAAAAGCCATACGTAGTAAGCCAGCCCTGAATTTCTTTTATAACCTTCATTGGTTGTTCAATCTTTCCTTCGCGTAAGGCTTGATTTCGCTTCTGCCACACTACATTCAATAAGATTATCATTCCTTTAGATGCGTTTGGTACAAGGGATTTGGAGGGAAAGGGAAGGAGGGGGAAGAATTTTAATCATTTCTTCTTGTTTGGCAACACACAAATTTTAGGGGTGGAGGAAAAAAATTTTCCCTCTCCTCCTCTTTTCAACCTCCCTTCCAAAATTGAAAGGATTTGGAGGGAAAGTGTAATATTTTATCATATTGAGACCATTATGCCCATTATTTTTAATATCCTTATACTATCCTAAATTTTTTTTCTTGTCTCCAAACGCTGTTCTCTCATTTGCATGGCCAAATGTTTCATTCAAAGATAGGATACAGTATAAGTTGAGGCTGAACATTACCTTAGCCTTCTTTTCAATAATACTTCACGCTCTAGAATATATTAGAATTTTGGTATAAGTATTAGTCAATTTATTAAATGTTATTTATAATTCTATTTTATTAAACATTCTATAAAATTTGAAAAAATAATCTTAAATAAAATAAGCATAAAATTGTCCATTTTAAAATATTTTTTCCTCCTCTTTCCTCATGAACCAAACAAGGTAATATTAAAATTCTTCCCCCTCTTTTTTTATAAATCCAAACAAGATAATATTAAAATTCTTTCATTCTCTTCCTCTTCCTCTTCCCCATCCTTCCATTAAAATCTCTCTCTTCTCCTTTTTCTGATCGAGCCAAACCCTTAAAGAGAAAATCAAAATTATCATGTGAAAGCTGCAACAGTACTTATTTCAGCCAGAGCAGGAAGGAATCGAAAGTGTTCACATCAAGTCTGATTGATAGACATCCATTCCATATAGCTCGGACATATGGACATGAGATAAACAACTGTTCCAGAGTTTCTTGACAATTGCAGCCAAAAACACAAAGTAAGGTAGATGTGATCTGGCGCAGGTTCAATACATCCCCCATGGAATTGCTTTACTAAAAAGTTTCCAGATGAAAAGTAATGACTTCATTGGAAGAGAAAGAGACCAAAGAAATTTCTAGAAATTGTCGCCGTTACCATGCGGCTGAAGAAAATTATGAAGATATTTCTTGGATCGATTCCTTGCAGTATAATAACCAGAGGTATTAGCAGTCCATTGCAAAGAACCACGCCTTGACTGAGACAAAATTGGAGTTGAAAAGATCTCCTTGATTGTACCTTCCGAGTATTTAAATTAAAATCTAAACTATCCAAAATCAATTTAGATAAAGCATAATAAAACTGTGCAATGCAATCTGTGTAGCCAACTCTTTTTAGTAAGACAAGGCAACATTGTTGTAATCAATGCCAAAGTCGCTTGCATTTGCATGTATGTACCTTGGTTGCAGATGGGAAGAGGAAGAAATAACTAATTAGAAGTGAAAGTGAGATATTGTGATGGCGAAGAAAATGTTAGGAAGAGAAGCAAGTGGTATGAAGAGCAGAAGTTGGAGCGAAGAATTGGTGAAAATAGTGAGTGTGATGTCCAACATATTGCTAGGAATTGCCAGCCTAAGCATCCACATCTCATGGAGGTTCCTGTGTCTTTCTCTAAGAGAATGCTCTGTTTCAAAGGTATAGAGGACGATAACTCATATTCTGATCTCTCACAAACTTCAAGAAATTAGTTGATTAACTAACATATGATCTAGGTTTATAATTGTTGGACTATGCCTAATCCACTCTAAGTGGATTACTTATATGAGGGTATGGGAAGGACCAGCCGAAAATAGGTATTAGATGGAATGAGACTCTAGGAGAACCTATCTCTTGTGACTCCAAACATAAGAAATCGGATAAATGATCGAGGTAGGACCTTAAGAAAACCTGTCTTTTACAATTCTAGCCATGAAGACACCACAAGGTTGATCACTTACTTGATACTATCGAGTATTCGCACGAGAATACAAGGATGCAAGCAAGACTTACATAGAAAAATAAACTTAATTCTCATTAATCAAATTCTAAAACTCAAGTACAAAAATGTAGCTTATACATAGATAACTATAGAACACTCTAGAATCAGTGTCCTAAAGCATAAATGCTACAAACGATGATGCCTTATTAATGATTAATGAACTATGGGATGCATCATTTATCGCATAGAGATAAAAGAAAATAACCTAAACTTCAAGAATAAGTTTACTATCTAAAAATAGAAAACTAAATTAAAACATAATTTTCTAAAAATAATCCTTGACCAAAAGATCTTATTCAAAGCAAATAAAAAGGAAAACTTCCTAAAAACGAATTTAAATCATAATCAATGCATAATGATGCCTTTCAATGTTTCTTGAAAGTTCTTGGACGTCACTTATACTTCTCTTTCAAGACACATGCTTGTCACATAGTATTTTAAATAAATTCTTCAATCTGAACTCCACATGGGGCTTGTACATCATTTTGTTAGGCTTCTATCAATGTTATCACCATTCTTGGACTCTTGTTAGGCTCACTAAAATGTGTTTTCTCCAAATAAGTGGGCTCTAAATTTTGTAGCTCTCTTATTAGACAGTTCAAGGCTTCCTTCATAGCTTTGGTTCATACTCTTGTCATTAGGCCTCTAGTGCCTTGTAATGAATCTTTTAGAATGTTGGACTTCCTTTCATGCATTTGAGCTCCTTGCTCCACTCCTTACTCTTCCTTTGAAGCTTGATTTTAATCATGCTATGCACCTCCATCACTTTACCCAAGCCTTATAACAGCTTGAAATTTAGGTACCCAGTTTATTTTATTTGAAATATTTTGTTAGAGGGAAATTGATGAGGACGTTAAGGCATGCATGGTGTGTTAAATATAGACCTCTCCCCATATTTTCCTCTGCATGCTCCTCCTTCATCTCCATGGGTTGTATCTATAACTCCGACTTCTCTTTGGAATCGGGCTAGTGTGGACATACAATATTGCTTACGATTGCCTTGTATGCTTCTAAACCCTCAATAATCATTGGTGAAATCTGTGGTGATGCAATTCAGTTTGTGATCAGATGTGATTAATAGATTGAATTTTTTGCGTGGACAAGGAATGGCTTATTTCTATTCATGATATGCAAAAGGGTACGTAGGATATGCACTATCAGCACCTATAATTTATCAATATCATAATTTGTTATAGGTTTTATATCAGAATATCGTTATCGAATTTTTTTTAATCTTGCAATAATTTTTGTGTAACAAGAAGGATGAAAATGAAAAAGAAGTTCAATTTTTTAATCTCAATTATCGAATTAAGTCTAAAAAAATTGTAAAGTAACGTAGTGCATAATCTTTTAAAACTTGATACAATGTTGTTGTCATGTAAAAGTCAACGTTAGCCAAACATTAATGAGGGTGAAAGACTCTTTATTAACCTAATGTTGATTGTTAGAAAATAATAATATTGCACCAATTTTTAAGGATTATTATCTTATTTCCAGACAAATAGTAGACGCTTCAGAGGAAATTAGTCTCCAAAGGATATACCATGCATATTCCATATGTTGCAAGCACCAT